TATCTTGGTCTCGTTTTTTTACATCACAGAAACCTGACATTTTAACAGGGGTGTGTAGACTTTTTATATCCACTGTATATGTAACGGGAGCTTTAAATCGCCCCGTCTCTTTCAGTAGGTCAGGCACATCGGGATAGGACTTCATTCCGAAGGTAACGTGCATGGGTTTGCTCAAATATTGGTAGGGACATTTCCCTCCTGCCCAAATGCAAAACTACACCCTTGCCCACAAGCACACAACTTAATCACAATTCTTAAAAAAAAAAGTTTCCTGAAGGTGAAGATGTCTTGTAAAATCAGGCAGCACCAGCTGAGAGCATTCACATGGGTTTATTCAATGAAATGCAGCATTTCACACTGTTGCTCACATATCAGATAGACAAACTGCAAGAGTTAACACACATCTTACTGCATTTGTTACGGCTTTGTTAGTACATGAAATGTCATTTTACACTTCAGAAGCTGAAGGCTAACAGTCAAGTTTCACCCCAGTGTCTAGATCTTCTCCACTGGTGACTCCAGTAAACTAGCTGCAGCACATTTACTGCGCTTTTCTCCAATAAAAAGTGAAACAAATAACAAGCGACAGTGCACAAACATTTATGGCTGAATCCTTTCCTGTACATATACTTTAGCTGTTTGCTTACGATCTGTGCAAACTGTATCTCGGTGGGAAACTGGTCCCCAGCTCATTTCTGGACACATGACCAATCTTTGTTTAGGGCTTGCAAATTTGGTGAATTTCAGAATATTTTTGTGAAAGAATTCACATCACACATTTTAGTTGAACTAAAAACACATTTATAAAAATAAATACCCCTTTGTTACTGCTAAAAATGTGATCTGAAAATATTTTCCTATGTTATACAGTAGGAAAATGAAGAGGCTATAACTTGAGTGCTATGGGATACACATAACAAGGAAAAGAAGTTTAAAACATACATTTCTTATACAATTATTCAATGTTTTTCTTGCTTGTGGATGTTAAATTGTATTGATGACAGAACCATTTAGTTCATCTGCTACATTTTCCTCTCCTGCACTGACAAATACTTTATATAAAAGGTTAAGGTGGTATTTAGGAGATAGATGATTTAAGTCATTACTAACACTGATTTCAGGTATTTGAGTTGTAGATTTGTTATGTTATTGTTTCCTGACAGTTTTTGGTTAAGCCCAGGCAGGAAGATGAGGAAACACTGACAGGTGAGTTTTTTAAACGACTTCCTCAGTTGTATTTTTGTGGCTTTTGCTCCACAGTTCTTAGTGGTATTTCAGATACACGTGTATGACCACAGTGGTACACACTGTATATCCCTTTCTTAGAAAGATTAAGCTGATGAGCCTGGCCTTATGCACAAGACATTTTTCTGGGTTGTTCTACATTAATAATTAAATGGCATTTAAAGGGTCAGTTCACTCAAACAACAAACCTTTTTAAAAAAACATATCTACTTGTTTCACCATGCAGATAGGTTTGGTTTATTTTTGTCCAGTTGTCATGGAATAGTAAATGCTCAAATTTTCATTTTTTAAGCTAACATGGATGACAAAAATTTAATTCGAGCACTTACTTTTCCACGACCACTGGGCAAACGTCTTCCCTTCACCTCCATAATTTTGATGTGGATGTAGTTATTTACATACCTGGTCAAATACAACCAAACCTATCTGCACTGCAGATTACCACAAGAAAGCAGTGCAATTTGTGTGAACTGACCCTTTAAATTCACTTTGCCAGCTGGCATCAAGCATTCTAGATACATCATGACTGTACTAACTGGTCAGACACAGCAAAGAAATAACATCTAACGCTGCTGCTGCTGCCACAGGAGCATGGACCTCCAACTGCCAAAGGGTGTGTGTTACTGTGTCACCTGAGCTTAGATTAGGTTAAACAAGTGGGATAATCTTGTATAGCACCGTACAGAAGGAGCTAATATAAACTCATCATTAATTAAAAAAAACCTATTTACAAAGCACCACATGTAGTGCAAAGACAGGTGTGTGTGGACAAAAGCCTGACTGACCGCTTTGGGATTTCCCTTTGTCCAGTGTTGTGTGTGTGTTTATGTGTCTATCTCCTGGACTGGCCCGTATAGCTGTTCTCGATACATAGCACAACGTAGGAGCTGGAGCAGCTGCTGGAGCTCTGCTGGAGCAGACTGCCGCTCTGCAGCGATGATGCCATGCCTGTCACCACCGGGTCTCCCACACGCCACGTCTCACAGAAGTTGTCGATGTGATGCTGACCGGCGCTGTTGGAGCCGTGCCACACCATCTTCTCTGGCCTGGGACAAAGCACAGAGAAAGGTCGGAAGTAAGCCAAGTGATGGTGTAAGATTGTTTTAATTGTGATTTTTGTGCTTCTGTCTCACCATGTGCTGTCACTTAGCACATCCTTGCCATCGAAGGAGTAGATCGTCACACTGTCCTTCATTCTACCACCACTGAAAATGGCATCCCAGCTGTCAAATAGCACCTCATCCTGAAGAAGACAACACAACACATTTAGTTCAAAAGATCTGGAGAAGCAAAAAAATCAGTTTAGAAGGCACAAATCCTAAGTTTTAACTGTAACTGACTGATCACTTGTAAACACGCCACATGACTTGACTCAAGGCTCCAACTGTGTTAATTTCAGAGCTATGACAAAATGAACTTTCAAAATAAAACAGGTACATTTTTTTCATTTAATGTGGTTGTTCATTTGTTTGATTTTTGGTAATGAATAATGGAATTATTAGAGCATGGTGGCACAGACCGCTGTCAGCCGTTCAGGTCTCTCTGTCCTCATTTATCCAAACAGGGATTTAGATTTGCTAACCAGCTATTTAGCAACTTTGCTCAGCGGGTAGTGTACAGGGTGCTATTAGAGCTTTTTTTGATAAAACAAAATCAAGAGAAAATAAACCAGATGAAATTGTCAAAAAAAACCTTAGCTAGCTACCTTAAGGTTGACAATTGGCAAATGGTCCCTGTCAGTCTTGTGGACGATGCTGTAGAGATCTTGGAGTCTGGCAGAAAGGAAGGCCCGGAAAGTTCCCTTCATCCCGACTGCTTGAGCCTGGCTGAAGCACAGGAAGTCTGCACCACGGATGCCCTTCATGGAGCCGGTCTGAGGGCTGTTCATAGCAATCAGGTGGAGCTGTGGAAAGACCCAAGTGCCTGTTAGCATTTTTATCATAATAACTACTGCAGTTTTAGACAAATAGCTTCTCTTACCCCTGGACCTGAAGTGTGATGGTGGACTGGAGTCTGGGGCACAGGTGGAGGTGGTCTTCGCTGAGGGGTGACTGTATAACGCGTGTCTGGGTATGCAGGGCGTTCCTGGGCTGTATGGACAAAATACCTACCATCTGGTTGGTTTAGCCGGTCTCCGTAACTTGGAAACCTTGGATTGGTGGGTGCTGGGTACCGCGGGTCTGGGTGATACTGTGAGTCAGGGTGGTATCGGGGATCAGGGTTTGATGGATACTGAGGGTAATACGGATCTGGCTCTGACTGATGCCCTGAGCTCGGGTGGACTGGACTGGCAGGTTGGCTTTGAGAGCTGTGGTCTGGGTAGTAAGGAATGACTGGTGGGGGCTCCACAGCTGCAACCTCATTACCCTGAAACAATATGCATGACGTGTGTTACAACAGGGTATGGTCTATGTTCTGGAATAAAGAATACAGTTACACTTACATCCTCACTGGGCAAAGCAATGTAACTCCCAAGCTGGAAAGATATAGGAGACAACTGCATTAATATACATGAAAAAACTGAGAAATCAGCATTTTTACTTTTCTCCAGCTGACTTGTTGTTTAAAAAAAAAGAAAAAAAAAAAAGATATATTTTACCTTGACTTGCCGGACTCCATCTCTGACCCGTAAGTAGAGATCTGTTTGGTCTATGATGTACACCAGAGAGCCCTCAGGTTGTATTCTAGCAGTGGCTGTCATGGTGTCATAAGATCTCAACACTGTCACCTACAGTACAAACACACCACATGGATCAGTGTCTTTTGAATTCTGATAACAAGTGTGTATCTTAAATGTCTATTTTTACTCTTGCAGCCTGGCTCATGAGTCACTTACTACAGTGCAGTAAAGCTATGTGAAGACTTTGGAACATATTCTTCATAGAGACACGTATATATTGTGACTTTAAAATTTATTTAGCTTTATGCAGTCTCTTAACACGCGCTGCTCCCCTTCATATCAGATTTGGTTTAGGTGATCTGTGTCTTGAGCTGCAGTCACAGTGGATTTGTATAGCATTCATGATATACAGTCTTATGCAAAAGTTTAGGCACCCCTTGATAAATAACAGATTTTGGTGATTTTTTATTTGAACAGATGTTAACACAGTTTCTCTTGGAAATGGAAAAAATGCACAATATTTTCAGCAAACAGTGATGCATAGTTACTTCTTATGCCATAAATTGAACAAAAATAAAAAATAAAAACATTATTATGGCATGGTGCAAAAGTTTGGGCACCCTAAGAGTTCCAGAGTCTCAAAGTCTCTCACAAGGTATCAGACCTTAATCAGCTCGTTAGATCTGATGCACAGCAACAGCTGTCATTGGTAAATGCCAATTTCAAAGCTGTACAAATACTTTGACTCTTCAAACCTTGTGCACACACTTGTGGACACCCAGCAACCATGGGTTCCTCTAAGCAGCTGTGTAAGACCCTGAAAATGAAAGTTATTGATGCCCACAATGCAGGAGAAGGCTACAAGAAGATAGCAAAGCGTTGTCAGCTTGCAGTTTCCACAGTAAGAAATGTAATTAAGAGATGGCAGATCAGGGGAACTGTGGAGGTCAAGATGAGATCTGGAAGACCAAGAAAACTCTCGGACAGAACTGCTCGTATGCTGGTCAGAAAGACAAATCAAAACCCCCATTTGACTGCAAAAAACCTGCAGGAAGATTTAGCAGACTCAGGAGTGGTGGTGCACCGTTCCACTGTGCAGCGATGCTTGCACAGACAAGGCCTTCATGGAAGAGTCAGCAGAAGAAAACCTTATCTGCGTCCCCATCATAAAATCCAACGTCTGAAGTATGCAACAGGACATCTACAGAAGCCCGATGCGTTTTGGAAACAAGTGCTGTGGACTGATGAAGTTAAAATAGAACTCTTTGGACACAATCAGCAAAGGCATGTTTGGAGAAAAAAAGGAGCAGCATTTCATGAAAAGAACACCTTGCCAACTATTAAGCATGGGGGTGGATCTATCATGCTCTGGGGTTGTGTTGCAGCCAGTGGCACAGGAAACATTGCACGGGTGGAGGGAAGAATGGATTCCACTAAATACCAGCAAATTCTGGAAGCAAACATCACACCATCTGTAAAAAAGCTGAAGCTGAAAAGAGGATGGCTTCTACAACAGGACAATGATCCTAAACATACCTCGAAATCCACTATGGAATACCTCAAGAGACGCAGGCTGAAGGTTTTGGAATGGCCATCACAGTCCCCTGATTTAAACATCATTGAAAATTTGTGGGTAGATCTTAAAAGAGCTGTGCATGCAAGACGACCAAAGAATATTACAGAACTAGAAGCCTTTTGCAAGGAAGAATGGGAGAAGATCCCAAGTACAAGAATTGAAAGACTTTTAGCTGGCTATGAAAAGCGTTTGCAAGCTGTGATATCTGCCAGAGGAGGTGTTACTAATCAGGACATAGGGCAGACATACTGACTGCATCAATGGCTTTCTCACCCCTGAGGAGTATCCAGGTAGCCCTGGAGGTCCAGGTGGTCCCGGTGGTCCAGGAATACTGATAGCTGTTATTTAAAGGAGTCACATAACCTCAAATGAGACTGAAGAAAGACTTAATCTAGAATATGTGGGTGAGTTCATGATCATAACTCACTCTGTGTGCCTCTGTGAGCACCAGGTAAAGATGGTCCTGGAGGTCCAGGTGGCCCTGGTGGTCCAGGTGGGCCATCATAGCTTCTTCCTGGTGGACCTGGTGGCCCCTGAGGGCCTGGTGGGCCAATGATGGAGTCACCTTTAGGGCCCTGATGAGACAAGGACAGAGAAGAGGACTGAAGAAGAGGAGACTGATTTTACTATACAGTATGTTAAAAGTAGAATAGAGAAAATTAAGATGTTACAGTTTAATACAAGGAATCGCTGTCGCTATTTATATTTAAGACCTACCAGTTTAGAACAAATCATACAGTATACTGTACCCTTTTTTCATTTTAACAAAATGTGGTAGTCAAGTAGCCCTCAAAATCATATCTAACCTAATTACATCTAATATGTACTACATACTGCATTTGTGTGGATTCTGTGGACAGAGACAATAGGTTGAGCAGTTGCATAGTGTTTTTTGGATTGTGATCTTACAGGAGGTCCAGGCACTCCTGAGGCTCCGACTCCACTCCCTCCATAGCGGGGATCGTAATATCCTCCACCCGGTTCTCCTTTCTCTCCTTTCAAGCCTGGACTGCCCATTTCACCTTTCAGCTCATTCTTGACACATAAACATCAAGAAACATCCAAGAAGTATAAACAAAGTATTACAGATGCTAATAGTTTAACCAAAACCGACACAACTCTAACAAGAGCACTCAGAGCACATGTACCTCCACAAAGGTGCCAAGTTATGGCAGAAATGTGTGTTAAATTGGGTTTTCAATGTTAATTTAAATGGCCATCACATCTGGAATCTGGATCAGATTCAGAAGAAATTTGCTCTGATGATAGACAATGCCACCCTACATATATGTGTCAAATTTAAAATGATTTCAATAACTTTTGATGGAGATATGAATTTTTTTAAATGTTGCTTTTTGTGATTTTCCTTATTTTTTGTGACCTTGACTTTTGACTTTTTTCATACAAAATTTAATCACTTCTATGGTTGGTCTCTATCAACGTCTGTACCAAGTATGCTGATGATCCATCTGGCTGTTTGTCTGTAATCCTGCTAACCAACACACACACACACATTTGATGGAGGTAATCATGTGGAAAGACCGTAGTGTTGAGCTTTACCTTTAAAGTGTAAAGGTCAAAGTCTGACCCGATACCTGCATCAGAAACAGAATGTACTGCTTTAAATTTGTCTACAAACTAAAAATATTAAACATTTCTTGGCATGTGACTGGACAGATAAAGTGCTACCTGGACGCCCCGGTGGTCCAAGATCACCTTTCTCTCCTTTCATAGCTATAAACAAGAACAGCAATAATGGACTAAGTTAAATATCTACTGTTACAGGAACAAAAACATGCTTATTTGCTTCGTTGCCCAGACTTAGACGAGAAGACACACACTCCCATGTCTGTGGATAAAATATGGTGCTGGTTATCGCAGTTAGCTTAAAATAAAGACTGGAAAGAGGGAAAAACAGCTAGCCAGGTTCTGTGCAAGGTGAACCATTTACTGTTTTACAGAAGGTTATGTGTTGTTTCCCCCTATTTCCAGTGTTTAGGCTACGCTAAGCTCAGCTGACCATATTTAACATAGACATGAGAGTATCAAGCTTCTCATCTAGCTCTCAGTGAGAAAAAGAATAGACATATTTAACTAAATGTCAAACTAATCCTTAAGAATTTCATTTTAATCATGGCACCTGAATATGAAGTGAACTCACCGGGGTGATACCTGGAGTAATCCTCATTCCCCTGAAATACAAAGGAAAGACGATTAGGGAAATGTAATATATATAACGTTCACATCCACAAGTGCCAGAAACTTTCTAGAAACACAAGTTATTTTATTCACCTATTAATCCATTAGGGTCAAGGGTCAAGGTGTTTATTTGTCATATGCACAGTTAGGAAACGTGTTTCCCTGTACAATGAAATTCTTACTTTGCCGTCCACATGAATGCCACAAAATACAAATGAAATATAAAGTAGATAAATAAGCAACACAAAATTTAAGGCACTTTAAGCAGCAATATAATAAAAATATATAAGAATATAATAAGAGAATGTATGCTGCATTAGGTTCTTACATAGTTAAATTATGTACTTATTGAAACAGAGGTAAATATCCCCAAAGGTTTTCAGATGTACATTTTTGACACTTTTTATTCAAAACTGCTACAACCCCTTTGGAAATATTTTATGTCTCAACTCACTCCGAGTCTGTCAACAGGAACAGTGGGTCCAGGAGGTCCAGGAGGGCCCGGTGGACCTGGAGGACCCTGGGACACCAAAAAAATATTAATTACTCTGTGTGTGTGTGTTGATCATTAAAGCTGCACAGTTCAGAAACCTTGAATGTAAAATGAGCCAAAATCTGTGATACTCACAGGGTAACCATATCCAGATCCAATGCTTGCATCTCCCTTCGCTCCTTTGGCGCCATTCAGCCCCGGACGACCCTACAATCAAACCACATTCAGAATCCTAACTGAGTCCAGTTGAACTCTGGAGACTCCCAGTGTACTGTAGATGTGTTTGCACCACATTTAAAATGACTTGAGATGAATCTGACTTAGCCTCCTTACCGGTCTCCCTGGAAGCCCAATCTCTCCCTTATGGCCTGGAGGACCGTATGAACCCTGGAAAAAAGTTTACTAGCTTGGAACACTAATATAATGCTATTAGTTTGTCATACAACTGTCAAGGTTTTAAAATGTGCTACATACTGGAGGTCCCACTGGGCCAGGAGGTCCCTTCTCACCCTGGAAATGAATACACATGTACAATGAAAACTTCAGACAGTGATAGTTTATGCACTTATTTGGGGTGAGTTACAGAAAACAGATGCTTAAATTCCTGAATCATTAAAAGCAGGGCAGAAAGGAAACATGCTAGGTATCCTAATAGCTCATTATCTGGTAGATCAAGCTTTTTTACCGGCTGTCCTGCCAGGGCACCCAGGTACAAAGGAGTCCCATCAGGCCCCAGGATGATACCAGGCTCTCCTTTCTGTCCCTGAAGAAAACAGTTTGAACAAATAGTTTATAATCACTGCTGTAAAAATGGCTGATAACACAGAAGGAAAGAAATCTGATGGGTTTTTTGTTTGCAAACTGGGAGCAGCTATCATAAAAATTAAGATTTAACTGTGTGATTATTTCAAGATATGAAACCATTTTCTTGTGATTCCAACTTATCTCACCTTTGGTGCATATCCTGGAGGACCTGAATCTCCTTTATCTCCTTTTGGTCCCATGGGCCCCTAGATCAAAACACATAACTGAATTTACATGCTTGATACATTTTTCCATATTTAACTGTGCACTGGTGGCTGTGATACATACTGGGAATCCTGCTCGGCCTGGAAGACTAGCTCCTTCCTAAAGAAGAGAGAATAATACAAAAATAAATAATAAAAAAGAACGTTTTCTTTTTGCATGTTCAAAACTTTAAACCTTCATTTAGTGAGGCTTAGAGTTAGATGGGTTAGGGGACCAGAGGATTGTCCACTCACCTGCCACCCTTCGCTCCAATATATGTCATTATACTACAGCAAGACAAAGTTAGGTCAGTTAGTATTTGTGGTGAACAAGCATTCAAATGAGTGGTGACCGTTAGTGAACATGAAGAACGGTAACAGACTTTGAGTGATTTAGTCAGTGAGTAACTCTGTAGGAATCTGTCACGTCAGGATATTGTATCAGACATAATATTTGCTGGATCTTTTTTTGTTAATGATTGATTTGTGACTCACATCTCCTGTTGTCTGGTAGACAATCTGTCCTGGGGGCCCGGGAGGCCCTGGAGGTCCAGGTGGTCCGCCATCTCGTCCTGGCATACCCTGCAATACAAATGGACATGGAATCATACATGACAATAACAAAGAACACATATCAGCACAGTGTATATTGACATATAGTGATAAAATAGGAACAGTCTCTTTAAATAATCTTTTCATGAACCAGAAAGTTTCTTGAGATATTATGTTACTTTTACAAGAGAGGCCAGAATATATGTTAGGAGTCCACAAACATACTTAGCAATAGAAGCCAACATATCCAATACAATCACCCTCCATTTTTATGCCATGCTAGCAGTGTGTCTCTAAGGATGACAACATCTGCAACTAAGCTGATTCACCATTTTGGTCCAGACTCATGTATCTCAACATTTATGGATGGATTGCTGTAAAGTTTGGTACAGACATTCATCATTCCTAGAATCCTAATGAATTCTGACTTTTTCTGCATTTCAGCATCATCACTGGAAGCAAGCTGTTGGAAGCTGGATGTTAGCAAGCTGAAGTGTGTAATTACAGCTTCACAGAGCTGCTGGCAAGACTGCAGACTCTTTGATTAGGCTCTTTAGCAACTGTTCTGGAGTGCGATACTGCAGAAAGCTCCAGAACAACCAATAAACAGACCTGACTGTTTTGTCAACTTATGCGTACAGGGTTAAGAATGAGCTCAGGTATACTGTAATAATAGATATTAAAAGCAGTGTACTGTACATAATCCTTGCAAATACAGCATATTAATCAATACAGTGCACAACACACTGGAAGTATTTTACTAAATGCAATGCATAAGGTCTAATCAAATGTTTATGCTTTGATACTGTGTCAACAAAACAGGGTAAGAGATTTTCAGCACAGCATAAAAATGAAAATATTCTTGCAGTAAAATGAAAAATATCTTATATTTTGCTTGGAACTCACCGTCTCTCCTTTCGCTCCTCTTTCACCCTTTTCACCCTTAAAATTGAACACATAAGGTTAGTGAAAACGCACATTCCTGCCAAGCCAAACAATCTACAAAAAGTCTAGTGGTGTATTATTTACATATGATATGGAATGTAAAAACCCTGTTTATTGGGCTAGATACCGGCGGTCCAGGGATCCCGTCCAGGCCTGGGAGCCCAGGTGGTCCTCGTGGCCCCTCTGCTCCTTTTTCTCCAAAGTTGCCCGGCAAACCTGGCTGGCCCTAGAAATGAACATTCAAACAGTACTAATACTCATGTTCAGCACAGGCGTTACAAATTCACTGAACATCACAAGAACAGCTACCACTAATATTCCCAAAAGTAATTACATTTTCAGGATAGTCTGCTCAAATTGTGTTTATAGTAACACAACTTTATTTATGTCATGGACCATACATTTTGGAAGACTGTGACTTATTAATAGTTTAGGTAATCTTTTTATTTTCTATTTGGTTTAGCACAAGTTCCACCGATGTTTAGTAAGAATATACATTAAAGAGTCTTATTTAAGTCAAATTAGCCCAGGTCACACTAAGTGGAAGTGAGCTTACAGAGATGGAGACTAACAACTGCATTCACATAGCACAATGCGGTAGAAATTCTCTGAAGTACTTACAGGTAGACCTGCAGTACCACGTGGACCCTGGAAGACAAGACACAGGATAACATGAGTGAGCACATGATCTGTTAGGGAAAAAACAAGACTGTCATGTACAGTATGTGTAACTGGGTACCTGTGGTCCAGGTGGGCCGGCGATCACATCATATCCATCATTGTCACTCTGTAAGGAAGATAGTGAAAATGAGAAGAATGTGAAAATGTGTTTCTTCACAACATAAGATCTATTCTTCCATCAACATAAAGCAGCACAATATGAATGTATTATTCACAGTATGATCAGTTAGAATCTGAACCTCTGGATAAGACTTTGCTTTATTCAAAAACTGAACAACTGGTTCGATGTTGCTGATTTATTAGAGGATATTCTCATTTAAAAGTTCAATCTGGCATTATTCTACATACAGTATATGTCCTTTTGTCAACAAATCCTTAAAAGACTAAAGCCAACAATGCATTTGTCTGTCCCTCAGTACTTTCTGATGCATCCAAGTCCACTGGCTCCTACTGAAGATATGAATGTTTAAAAACAGGTTACAAATACACTCATATTTGGACAATGTAGTTTTCAGTAAATGTTACGCTTGCATTTGTCTGTGACTATTTTACCCATAAACACTAGTTGTATGTTCTCAGTTACCGAGCAAGAACAAAAACTGCTTTTTAAAGAATCTTGTGTCTGCCAAACACAGTGATATTCAACATCTGTATGTGTTCTGTACTTAAACCAGTTATGTTAAGAAATGTGTCTTCTAATTGCAAACTTCACATTCTGGTGTCCCCTCCTGTAGCTTTTTCTTTTTGTTTCAATCCTAAAGATGGAAAAAACTACATTTTTTTGGAGGCATTGCTCACACACACAGTAAAACAGGCCTTTTAAAAGCTACTCACAAGGCCAGTGTGGTAAGGTGGCCCTGGTGGTCCAGGAGGTCCTGGAGGTCCAACTGGTCCCATTGGCCCTGGAAGCCCTGCTAGCCCGGTCTGCCCTGCGGTACCCGTCTGTCCTGGGTCACCCTGAGCACCCTGGGAAAAATGAAAATTAGGTTTAGTGCAACCACAGAAGAAAAAATGAGGAAAAGAAGGTGATGCCAAAGAAGGTGAGACATGCAGATCTACAGAGGCAGAGGTTAAGCTGAGTTACATGAGAAAACCATGCAGAAAGATGTTATACTTGGAAAAGTGATAGTAAGCAGCTGAATGTTTAATGAATCCATGGAGGAAAAGTATTTCTCCACTCATCATGAGGGATGTGTTACCAGATACTTCAATCATCCATGGTTGCACTTTGTTTAAAATATGTTAAAACTGGTGAAAGGAAAAGAAAACACAAAAGGCGTAAAGTAAGAGAAGAGGCCGGTGAGAAAGCTGGAGTCTTGTGTGTCTTGCTGAAGGAAAGCAACAAACAAAGGAGGAGAAAACTATCTGAACGCAACCACCACAAATATAGCATATACTTTTTCAGTTTAAACCTTGAGTCATACAGGAACACTGATATTTTTAAAAATAAATCACCGATATGAGTTTTAAAGACTTAAATCACCTTTTGCCCGGCTGCTCCTGGAAGACCGAGCTCACCACAGTCACCCTGTATGACAAAAAAAGATTTAAGCAATACAATAACAACAATTAGATTGACTGCCATTAATTTTGTTTATTTACATTTTCTTTTACTGTGGGAAATATTCATAACTTTACACCCATCTGCACATGCTCACCTTCTCTCCTCTGGGTCCAGGCTGACCAGGTGCACCAGGATGACCAGGAGGGCCCTAAAATAACAGACAGGATATACACAATCAACATTCATTGTTTGTCACAATCCTGCAGTGCATCCTGCTTCCCCTGGTACAGTGATGGCTGTATCATAGTAGTATCATATCACATCACGTCACAGATTAAAAACAACACTCACTGGTAAACCAGGGACTCCATCTTGTCCAGGTGGTCCAGGAGGTCCAAAGGCAACTGAACCGTTGTCTCCCAGGGCCACTGAAGTCCCAGGGATCCCAGGGGGGCCAGGAGGGCCCGGGGGGCCGGGAGGACCACGGGGACCCTGGATAACAAATCACAAAAAGATTAAGTTGTTAAAAACTTCAACAATTTGAGTTTATGTGTGGATGTTTAATGATAATCAACATACCCAAACTTTGTCCAGGTCAGGGAATCCTGAGCCTTCCATGTCAACAAAGGTCTATTGAAACATGTCGTAAAATACTGTGACAAATTGGTATCGAAAATGTCGATAATGAACGAGAAAAGAGTGAAGTGTGGACTTACTGGACGGTCACCAGTGCCAGGTCCAGGAGGTCCTGGTGGACCTGGGCGGCCTCTGGGTCCAGGTTGACCCTCTCCTCTTTCCCCCTGGAAAGATTCAGAGGTCACACATTGTCACACAGCAATGAACAGTGATATAAAACCTGTTACGTAATTGTCTGAAATAAAATTAAACAATCAAACTCATCCATCCATCCATCTGAATCCACTCTGCACTGCACCTTTTGGCCTTTATGTCCAGGATTACCAGGAGGGCCTTGTGGCCCAGCATGACCCTGCAAATTTGGAGCAAAAAACACTACACTGGTAAATTTTTATATTAAGCCTTTGATTCATATTTTAATCTGTCAATAAACGCAAACTTACAGCTTTTCCATCTTCTCCTGGATCACCCTGAAAAATAAAAAGCGACAAGTGATTAATATGTAACAACCCACAACATTTGGAGAGTTCAGGATTTTTCTAAGATTCTCTGGACTCACAGGCTCCCCATCGGCCCCTGGAGGTCCTGCAGCCCCATCTGCCCCCGGTAGCCCTGGAGGTCCAGGGGGTCCTGCCACGTGTTGCACAGCAGAGCCATCCCCCAGTCGGACTACTTCAGCCGCAGGTCCTGGAGGACCAGGAGGCCCGGGAGGCCCCTGAGCCCCACGCTCTCCCTTATTGCCTGGATATCCAATGCCCTGATGAAAAAGGTAAAAAAAAATGTAATAAATATAAAAAAATGCTTTTCTAGTGCTCCTCAACAGGTATTTATCTCTCTTTGCATTTCTAGATCAACAAGGTACAGTAAGGTATTAAGTTAAACTTCTCATCTTAAAAACTGTCACACAGTGGACACGTCTTCATAATGAAGTCAGAGTGGAATAATTTTAGGAAGTGTGGAAGTGATTTTCTACAGCAACTCAACTTTTGTTTATTATGTCATAATTATAATAATGATAATAAAAAAGTCTTTCAGCTCATACCCATTTACCTCAGCATTATTATTATTATACTGTAGATCACTTATAAAAGGGTTTTACTGGTACAATTTGGTTGTAATTATTCAAGTTAAAATGAACCAAACTAAAATAAATGTTCCTGTAACACAGCTAACATACCTTTGCTCCCTTTTCACCCTGAGAAAGGAAAAGGAAAAAAAGAGCCGCTTATTCCGTATGTCTGGTCAGTTATGCAGCTGTACATCATTCACAGTTATACACACAGATACTTATAGTAATGTTTTACCTTTTGCCCTCGTTCACCCTGGGAGGACACACCAGAGCCAAAGCCAGACCTTGAATCTCCCTTTGGTCCTGCGGGGCCTCTGTCCCCCTTTGAACCTTTCTCTCCTTTGTCACCTTTGTCACCTTTAGCACCGCTGACACCTGCTGTTGATGTTTTGGATGAATTACATTAGCAAATGAGGAACAACTTGATTTTAAAGTGACTTATTCAATGACAAGTTGCACGAGCCAAGCCACGCCTCAATACATCACACAGAGAATGTTTATCTTGCATTGATTATCTTATCATGATCTTATATTTCATTCTTCTACTAGACGACCTCCAGCCTTGTTCTCACTCTGATTGAACCAGTGATGATCAGACATCACTCCCTCCACCAACCACACCACAAAGCTCACACAGCACTAATCAGTAATGTGGAAATGTGATGGTCACCACAGCACTGACTGAGATTAGAATGTGCAAACAATCAAAATCACCAAAAGCACAAGCCAAACAAGGCTGTAATGAAAGAAAAAAGAAAACGTGCTGTAAGTTCATGTGGACCCAAAGTGTCTGTGGTTGTACTGACAGCAGGCAGAGAAGCACTCTCCTGCAGAGGGCACTGCTGCATCATTCATAACTTCTGACTGGATCATCTTCAGGCCAGTTCGAATGTAAACTACAGAGGCAACTTTGTCCATGAAAAAAAATTGTACTAAAATTGTACATGTGTATTTCTTCCTACAGGGATGAAGACAGAAGCTGTAGCTTGCATCCAACCTTCTTGCAGGACAAGCCATGTTAAATAATTGAGATCAACCACCAAAAGATTGACAAAAGATGACAAACCTCCACCAACAAGCCCACAGTTGCATGACAAATTACAGCAGCTAGAGACACAGCACTCATTCTACCCTGACACAGGATGGCCACACGTCAATTAGGACATAATCCTAACTGAACATTCTGCAAGACGTGCATTGATCCTTCTTCCTCCGACAACCCACCTTTTGGGCCTGGTGATCCAGACTGGCTGTAGTCCACTGACAGCTGCAGATACCTGTCATCTAAAGTCAACACAAACACAATTTAACCTGCTTTTCAGCAGGTCTGCAAGTGTCGGCTTGCTGAGCAGAGAATGCAGAGCCTTGTTGATGTCTGAGTTTTTTAGAAGAATAAATGTGTCCTAGTGTTAAAGCAAAATTTGGTACAATTTCCCCATGATTACTTAGGTTTTTAAAGTATGAAATAAAGCCAAATGTGAATTTTAGACTGTTTTTCTTCCACTTTTGCAGGGCTCCTGTAACAAAAAATACTCTACTGCTATAACTTTCCACCTGAGGGAGCTCAAGAGTTTTAAATCAAGTCAGCATGATGAAACTGTGCAACAAAAAGTGCCCACACTTTCAGGTCCAGACAAGCACCTTTATGTACATATTTCTGGATAAAAGCACAGTGATTCTATGAGATCTTTCTCTGGCAGCAACTGGTATACAATTAAAAACTTCCATGACACTTGACTGTTTACTGTGATGAGCATTTTGGCAGCTGCTAGCACGCTGAAGATTTACAGCCGCAAGCTGATGCAAACGAAGACTTATTTTACCTGATTCTTTGAGGCTGTCCTTTTGTGAGGATGTCAGTGGTGGTTCAGGCGCTGGACGGAAGGATGCAGGGGTGGTCTGGGGATACAACAGCAAAGTTTAAAACATGCACTGTCAGCATTCTCTTTACATTCTATTTGCCAGCATTAATTCCAAACCTTTAATGGCTCAGATCAGATGTTTGCCAGTACTATTCCTCAGTACACAAGGTAAACTCAACTGAAAACTGGTCTTGAAATGAATTTCTAAACACCCTGCTCGTATTTTTGTGCCAAAGTTGCTGATAACCTGAGTAAACATACAGTCAACAACATGTTTATTCACCAATATCCATCAGTGTTATTCTTGTCAGGAGGCAGAGTCTATGAAGTCTGAGAGTGTCAGACTATACTAAGAGTCAAAATCCAATTCCCATAATGCAATTAGATCCTCCCTTCCACCTAAACGGCCCCTTTGTTTGAACCCCACATTTCCAGTTAAGACAGGCTTTATTTTAAAAAGCTTTGTGTTTTTTTAGTCTCAGTTTAAGCTGACCTTCACAGTGTGTCCTGTCTGTCTCCTGTCATCTTCACCGCTGCCAAAGTCACCAGAGGCCTGAGAGACAGAGCGAGATGTTACACAACAACTTTCAGATGCTGAGCCTCATCTTTGACTAAAATATTCACCAAAATACTCACAGCATCAGAGTCGTCCTCATCATCACACAAACGCTCAGCTGCCTGAGGGTTTCCCACCAGTCGCAGCTCTGCGATCTCACCCTAAAATCACACACACAGAGTGGGTGCATTTTATTTTACTGTGATGACAAAAGTCTGTGTGCAATCACAAATGATATTAGTTTCTTTTGAAACTAAGATATGGAAAGTATGAGAAACAGGACTCATGAAGTGGAAGAACATTGTGTCAGATGCCATTATTACTCTGCAAATTACCTTAAATAATTCTGTACAGTAATTCTGCTCTTAAATATAATACAGGCAGGTCTGAGGCCGGGTGCACTTTGTGCTGCACAGCAGAGACCAGTTTGTGCCCCTGAAAAGTATTTGTTCAGATGATTTTGGCAGAAAAGGTTCAAGGATGCAACTAAACATGAAACAAAATTAAAGAAGTCTGATGTGGAGTTTGAACTTTTGTCATGAATTATATCCTTTTCCTCTCCACTTTTCCACTTTAAAGACCACGTGATGCTCACACCTGAGTCACTGACTGGATGAAAGATGAAGGTCAGAGGTCAAAGGTGAGAGAATTAGATTTGAATAGATATGAAGGGTTAAGCCTCCCCTTTCTGGAGCCAGTGACCCAGCCACAAACGTGCCCTGGAGGTGAGTGATCCGACCCCATGAAGAGGTTACACTTCTACATACAAACGCACACAAACTCAAACTCAACACACGTGCTCTCTCAGTATAGAATGCATTTTTCTGACTAGTTCAGGTCCTGTGGGTGACATTTGAAAGAGGACACATTGCTGTTTTTCATTCATTCCTGTCATAAATGTGATGAACAAACATCTCTTCAGCACTTGAGCATCTCCTCTGCTGGTACGCTGGAGTTTATAGTTAGAAAATAGTCCTCTCCTCAAAATGCTAGCAAGTAAAAAAGAAGCATTACTGGTATTTTTAAAAACAAGACAAATAGTCTGTAAAAGTCATCATTTTGTGTAAAAATATATGGTAAGTTACACAGTAGCTGTGTACGTTATTCATCAAAGCTGGTCCAAAGACAGCACTTCATTGATAAAACAATGTCCTCCAAAGTCTGTATTTAAAGGCAGTACATCATAAAAAGCTAGCTAACCCAAATACACATGATTCAGCCAAATCCACTTGTTTGTAGTCCACTTATAGCATTCAGCATCTTATTTGGATGTTAATTTGAAACTAAATCCTCACCTTGAACTTATCAGTGTCAGCTCCTCCAGCCTGACCCACAAAGATCCCTGCTCCGGCATCGAACTCCATCAAATCTGGGGAGCGCTCAAACTTCACCACCTGTGGCTCAGAGTCACAGCCTTGGTACAAAGTCACCCGATCCTCAAAAACAGACAACGAGAAGCGACTCCAGGTGTTCACCAGACTGGGCACATCAAAGCTGGCTGCCTCATATGAGGCCTCAGCGTCAGGTTCGGTGTAAAAGAACTGCACCTTCTGACGACCGGACTGCACAGCACTGAGCTTGACACCAATGTAGATGAGCTTCTGGGGCCCATCAGTAATAGAGAAGAGGACAGAGGCAGCGGGGGTGGAGGGCTTGAGGTGGAAGAGGAGGGAGAAGTGGCGGTAGAAAGGGCTAGGGACATGGGCCAGAACGGGCTGGCCCGACGCTGCAGCAGAGGTGAAGAGGAAAGCAGCCTCATCCCTCGGCCCTGAAACCCTGATGATTTCATCTGGAGGGGGGTCCCCAATCAGCTGGAGCAAAGAGATGCCACTATCCTCTGCAGGGGAGGAAGAGACAGGAAATTAAAATTTAGAGTCAGAAACTTGAAAGATAAAATCATGGACACTGCCTTCAAGTGCAGCTTTAAACATAAGTTTAAGCACATGAATGACAAAGAGCTGGGTAAGTGACATGTTATTGTTCAACGCATGTGTTTCTATACACACACACACCGATCAGGCATAACATTATGACCACCTGCCTACTACTGTTTACACAGGAGTCAATGTGGCAGTTGGTTGGCCCTCATGTCACTCTGCAGCTCACTGTGCATCTTCTGTGAATCCATTTACTACCAGTTCTACTGTCAGGAAGAGCACAGATGTGAAAAACTTATGTAGAAGGAGTGAAAACTGTGGTCGTGAGGACGGGTTAGAGAGAATTGTTTAGACCAATCCAACAGCCTCACCACTCTAGGTGTGATATCACCACTACAGCCCCTGACTCTTTCTCTTCATAGAGACCAATGGACAGTGTTTCTCATTTTCAACCATATCTGTAAGCCGTGGTCGTCCATGACCCTGTCTCCAGTTCACTTCCTTAGACACTGTTGGTAGGTACTAACCACTTCAGACCAACAACACCCACCAAGACCTGTAGTGTGGGAGATGATCTGACCCAGTCATCACCATCACAGTCTGGCCCTTGTCAAAGTCACTCAGATCCTTACACTTGCCCATTTTTCCTGCTTCCAACACGACAACTTTGAGGACTGAATGTTCACTTGCTGCCTAATATACCCCCCACACTGACAGGGGCCACTGTAACAGATAGTCAGTGTTATACACTTCACCTGCCAGTGGTCAGAATGTTATGGCTGATCGGTGTAGGTGCGTTATACATATACAGTGCGGCAAATAAGTATTTGATACACCACCGATTTTTCAAGTTTTCCCACTTACAAAGAATGGACAGTTCTGTAATTTTCATCGTAGGTACACCTCAACTGTGAGA